GAGTGAAGGAGGACGACTTCAAGGATCTTGAGGCCAAACCCCATATGGTGAAAAAAACTTAACCCCTTTTCTCTGTCTCTCTTTTTTAAAAGTGGTGTTTACAAGGATTGTTTTCTGATTATAGACATAATAAATGTTCATTGTACAATATTAGAAAAATGTAGATAAGTATAAAACGGAAAGTAATCATTTGTAATATGGCCACCTTAAGAAAACCATTAGTTGAGATTTTGCCCTATTTTTTAAGTCTTCCATATCTAATTTTTAAATCTAATTTGGTACCATATTATGTATGTGATTTTCATCATCCTTTTTGAACTAACATTATATCATGAGCCTTTTCTTATGTCTTCAGATTTTCTTTGAAAACACATTTTGTTGGCTGCATAATTACCCATCTTATGCAGAGATCATATTAGTTTACTAGTCATATTTTTTTTGCTCATGTAGGTTTCTGATAATAAGTGGTACAGTATTTCTCAATGCCCTTACTCCGTTTGTTTAGCTGGAAAAGTCTGTTCCATAAGAGATATTGTCTGTGATGATATAGCATTTTTATAAAGAGGTTATGTACACTCACATTTTAATAGTTTAGAAATTGGAATGTTAGAAACAGTATCATGGGGCATGATGGCTCAAGCCTGTAATCCTAGCACTCCGGGAGGCTGAGGTGGGAGGATCACTTGAGCTAGGGAGTTCAAGACCAGCCTGAGCAAGAGCGACATCCTATCTCTACTAAAAATTAGAAAAAATTAGCCAGGTGTGGTGGTGCATGCCTGTAGTCCTAGCTACTTGGGAGGCTGAGAGGCAAGAGGATTGCTTGAGCCCAGGAGTTTGAGGTTGCTGTGAGCTAGGCTGATGCCACGGCACTCTAGGCCTGGTGAAAGAGTGAGACTCTGTCTCAAAAAAAAAAAGAAAAAGAATATCAGAATGACTTTTAAAAGTAAATTGTGTACAGCTGAAACTTTTAGCCCTACAGAAAAGTACAAGAAAATCACAGTGAACTCCCATATCATATCTTTCATCCAGATTAAGAATTAAATGTTTCTAAATTTCCAAAGGAGCATGTAAAGACCATTTATTTACAAAAGGCCTTCCTTGTGTAGTGGCCACCCTGGTCGCCTCTTTCCACCCCATAAGCTGAGGAGCAGGGAATTAGGACCCATGTGGAAGGGGAGGAGGGTAGGAGAGAGGGTTCCCCTGTGGCCTGCATTTGACTGCTGCTTTTTCCCAGTAGCATGAGTTTCGACTGGGAGTGCGACTTTACTCAGAGGAAGAGCCGATGGAAGCCGTGCCCCACCTAGAGACAGCGCTGCAAGAGTACTTTGTGGCAGACGAGGAGTGCCGTGCCCTCTGCGAGGGGCCCTATGACTATGATGGCTACAACTACCTCGAGTACAATGCTGACCTCTTCCAGGCCATCACAGGTGTGCAGCTCAGAGCCAGGCCCTCAGCCAGGCCTCTAAGGCCAACGTCCTGGTAATAGAGACGCAACATCTTTGGCTTCATTCCTCAATTTCTTAAATCTGGGAATCTGACAAAAAAAAAAAATTGCTTGCACTTGAATGTGTTCGTCTTAACCAGAATTGGAATCCTGACGATTGACCTTGTAGTTATTCCCCCTCTTTGATTCTTTTCAGATCACTACATCCAGGTCCTCAGCTGTAAGCAGAACTGTGTCACCGAGCTTGCTTCCCACCCAAGCCGAGAGAAGCCCTTTGAAGACTTCCTCCCATCACATTACAATTACCTGCAGTTTGCCTACTACAACAGTAAGGCCTACTTCCTTTCCTTTTTCTCTGCTGCCTTAACTGTTAGTAAGAAGCTAAAGGCAAGGCAGGCAGGAATTGCAGCCACTGCGCTTCTCCAGCATGTCTGGCTTCTTTCTGTGGCTGTGGTAGGCACCATGCCAGGGGATCCCTGGGTACTTTGTTACAAGCCACTGGCCCAGGAAGCCAGTACCAGCAACCCAAATGCCGGGAGAGGAAGACTCAAGACCTCTCTCATCCCTTCTTTAACATTTGTAATCTAATTTTGCACTTGAATTAAAAGTAATAGCAAAAGTGAGGGTATGCTACTGTTTGAAACAGCTCAGAGGACATTTCCCAGCCCTTCTCCCTAGTATAGCACTGATGCTTTTTGGGGGGGAGTCTATCAATATCGGGAAAACCAACAAGTCACTATGACTTTACTGAGTTCCTACTGTGTGGTATGCATCACAGCATGTTTACAAGTATGTGATATTTATAGTTGAACTGGGGAGACTGACACATATGAACAAGAAATGTTCTGCCAAAGAGGCAACCTGCTATTGTAATTTTCCCTCCTCTTCTGAAAATCCACAGGAAAAAGAAGATAGGAAGATAGGGAAATATTCCTGAAATTGGTTTAATGATCGAGTGAGGCAAGATATTACGAGGTATTTGAGGGCCTGACACGGTGGCTTACACCTGTAATCGTAGCACTCTGGGAGGCCGAGGCAGGCAATTGTTTGAGCTCAGGTGTTTGAGACCAGCCTGAGCAAGAGAGAGTCCCCATCTCTACTAAAAATAGAAAGAAATTATTTGGACAACTAAAAATATATATAGAAAAAATTAGCCGGGCACGGTGGCGTATGCCTGTAGTCCCAGCTACTCGGGAGGCTGAGGCAGGAGGATCGCTTGAGCCCAGGAGTTTGAGGTTGCTGTGAGCTAGGCTGACGCCACAGCACTCTAGCCCAGGCAAGAGAGTGAGACTCTGTCTCAAGAAAAAAAAAAAAAGATATTTGAATTATTCGTGAGATTTTTAAAGATGTGGGCACGTAGAAGGTTCTAATTCTTCTCTGTTTTGATGTTAGGCAGCCCTAAGGACTTTGAACACCTCAAAATCAATTACTCATTCTGTGTGTATTCCGTAACTTCTGCCCCCAAATCAGGCCACCCTGTTAAGTAGCTGGTGCCCCTGTGTCACGTCATCACTGCCTCAAGCTTTGCTGAGACTGAGCACTTAAGTGGCTGCTGGTACCCAGCATCAGACCCTTTCCTCTCAGCCATTTTTTTGTCCACTTTGCAGTTGGGAATTACACACAGGCTATCGAATGTGCCAAGACCTATCTCCTCTTCTTCCCTGACGACGAAGTGATGAAGCAGAATCTGGCCTACTATGCGGCTATGCTTGGGGAAGAACAGGCCAGCTCCATCGGCCCCCGTGAGGTGAGAGACTTGCTGTGGGGAGCTGCCGGCTGCACTCAGACCAGAGGGCAGACGATGGGGTAGCAGAGGGGACTTGCGCTGTGTGTGCCAGGCGGGGGCCAGGTCCTGGGCCAGGTGTGAATTCACTGACTCAACATGTCATTTGGAGAAGAAGGGAGCACAGGAATTGCAGCAAATACACAGGAGCCTTAATTAACATTATGAGGGCCCAGAGGTCCGTTCTCCAAGTCACACAGAGAAGCAGAACTGCACAGCAGGCACGTGCTGTCCCCTCTCGCATCCCCCATTTGGACGCTTGATACCATGTGGCCAAGATCTGTCATTTTTCACTTCCTGCTATGTTTTTTCCTGCTCCCTGTTTTCTATTTTCCTCCCCATCCCTTCTTCTTCCTGCCACAGTTTGCTCTCTCCTTATCTTTCAGCGTTTTTCCCATCTCACTCCAAAGCAAGGAGAAAAATCTATATGACACAAAGACTCCTGCTCTGAGGAGAAACCCCAGGTTCTTCCTTCGTAGCTCTGGAATCCTGAGAGTCTTGGTAGAAGTAATCCTCTTGCCATCCCCTCCCATGGGGGTTGTCCTTGTAGTTGTCCTCTGTGGCCACTAGATGGTGACCATCTGGCTTGAAGATGGCACTTCCAGTCTTTTTGTCTTGCTTAGTTAATACCATTTTTCCCTTTATGGTCATATAATGAATCTGATGAGGGAGAGGGAGATAAACCCATGTGGCCAGTCTAGCATTTTAACTAGAACTCCCCTTCTCCCATCCAGCCCAAGCACTGTGCCATCATCTCATTTAATCATCACAGCTGCCCTACAAGGGAGGCACTCTCCTTCCTACTTTTTTTTTTTTTTTATTTTTTATTTTTTGAGACAGAGTCTCACTCTTTTGCCCGGGCTAGAGTGCCGTGGCGTCATCCTAGCTCACAGCAACCTCAAACTCCTGGGCTCAAGCAGTCCTTCTGCCTCAGCCTCCCGAGTAGCTAGGACTACAGGCATGCACCACCATGCCCAGCTAATTTTTTCTATATATTTTTAGTTGTCCAATTAATTTCTTTCTATTTTTAGTAGAGACGGGGTCTCGCTCTTGCTCAGGCTGGTTTTGAACTCCTGAGCTCAAACAATCCGCCCGCCTCGGCCTCCCAGAGAGCTAGGATTACAGGCATGAGCCACCAGGCCCAGCCCTCTCCTTCCTGCTTTAGAGATGATCCGAGAGACAAAGGCACTTGTGCAGTGGCCCCTGGCTGGCTGGTGAGTGGTGATGGTACCTCTGTTCCCGGGTCTGTCCCAGGGCAGACACAGGTCCTGACATGTAGCTGACACTCAGGAAATCAGTGTTGAATGCATAAAGGAGAGAAGTGAGATTGGTTTACCAGTGGCCTCAGAGTCGTTGGAGAGGGTTGCATTGGATCACACAGCACTTGGTGAAGGAGGCCAATAATGTCAACTCCCTGGGAGAAAATCTCCATCTTCCTCTTGGGTAAATACAGCAGATGACATAGGACTCACTGACTCCTTTAATGTTTTCCTCCTTGAACTGCCTCATCTTTTATTTCAATTGATGATGTCTTCTTTTTCTCTTCTTCCTTCTTCTGCTGCCTGGAGATTAGCAGGGCACCCAGGGAAAGATGTGACTCTGGAAGGTACTCACTTGCCCTGACCTGGGTTAGCCCTGCCCGGGAGCCCACGCGGGAAGACCAGAGTGCCAGGCCCAGCTGCTCCCACCGCAGTGGCCCAGCCTCAGGGAGAGTGTGGTCTGGTCAGAGGAGGGGAGGCAGGCGGCAGAGCAGAAAGCACATGGGCTTTGGGGCTGGAAAGACCTGGGTTTGAATGTCGGTCCCTGCTCTCCCATTTCCTGTAGTGTCACCTTAGACAGGTACACATCCCCTCTGCACCTCAGATCCCTCATGAGGATAATAGTGTCAGCCTCAGAGGTGGTCCTTTGTAAACGCTAAATGAGTAACACCTGAGTTGCCTAACACCTAGGTTCTCTTCCCAAGTATTGGTCTCCTGCAGAAGTCAAAAGGAGTTCTTCTTCTTTGAACAATATTTCCACATCTCCAGAGAATCATTCAATTTTCAGTCCCAGAGATTAATGGGTTTTGGGGTTAGGTAGGAAGGGGGACTTTTCCCTCATGGGAAGCCTGGCTGTGCCCCTCAGAGGTACTGCTTGTGCCTGGCAGGAAGAACCCTTGGACACAGAAGTGAGACTTTTGTCCCAAACCAGGGAACAGACATACAGCGATGGTGGGGAGAGCAGCAGCGGTGTGGAGTGCCAGGATGGGGCATTCCCAGGGCCTAAAGGACAGGGCTGAGTCCTAGGGAATTCCTCCTGTCTTCCTTTGTGTCCTCAGAGTGCCCAGGAGTACCGACGACGAAGCCTGCTGGAGAAAGAACTGCTTTTCTTCGCTTATGATGTTTTTGGAATTCCCTTTGTGGACCCGGTGAGCCGGGTGCAAGAGCTAGAAGGGAGGGGCACGGAGGGGTGGAGGATGAGAGTGAGTGGCACACCGTGCAACTCTGGGAGAAAACTGTTACGGGGCTAAGCCAAGCGTGGGATGTGTGAAGGGCAAGGATGGGAGACAGGAAGATGAAAGGGGAACCCTGGGCAGCTAGAAGGGACTTAGGGTCAGAGAGCTCCTGATTTATCTCCTAAAAGGAGGCGGATGCAGTGGATTTCTCCTGTAGGCCCTATTCTATGTGTTCAGATCTGGAAGATTAAGTAGGTCACCTTACCTTGTTAATTTTTTCCTAACCTACTTAGGATTCATGGACTCCAGAAGAGGTGATTCCCAAGAGATTGCAAGAGAAACAGAAGTGAGGATCTTGAAGAAACTGCATGGTTGGATCAGTCTGATGAAGCACTTAAGGCTTCCTGAGCCCAGGCAGATGTGAATTCCTGGCAAGGGGTGGGCAGGTCCAGTCTGGGAAGTTGGGGTGGGAGCCCAGGGCTGGCCCCAGAATTCAGTCCTCAGAGCAGCTGTGCTCACAGGTCGGAACGGGAAACAGCCGTACGCATCTCCCAGGAGATTGGGAACCTTATGAAGGAGATCGAGACCCTTGTGGAAGAGAAGACCAAAGAGTCATTGGATGTGAGCAGGCTGACCCGGGAAGGTGAGAGGATGGAGCTTGGGGTATGCCTGCAGCTGCTGTGGGGGAGCCAGGAGGTTGCCCCAAACTAGCCAGGCAGCACCCCCACAGCAATGCAAAGCTCACTGAGAGCCAGCCTCAGGGCCCGAGTCCAGCAGGTGTCCTTCCTAACTCACCTACGGGACTTCCAACTGGAAAGAGCACTGACAGTTGGCCTTTGGTTGAGAAGTAAGACTCTCGTGTCACAGGAACCCTAGTGCAGTCCACTGCCACTAGCATTTATAGGATGAAACTCATCCTGTCTCCCCACTCCCAAATTCTGTTCTCCCGACTTCCACCATCCATCCTGCTACCAAGACTCAAAACCTTCAGGCCTCCTTTGGCTCCTCCTCCTCCCCTGTCTGTCCCCTCTAGGCTGCCAGGAAGGAGCACCGAGCACAATCACAGCTCCTCTCTGCTGCTTCTCATCTCTCTCCTCAGCCTCTGTCTCTTCCCCTTGCCCCAGGCCACCCCTTCTGTCTGCAACCCCCTCTCGTCCAGCCTGTCCTTGCCCTTCCTACACGCAGTTGCTAGGCCAGTCTTCCAGACCCTGGGCCTCTGACCCACCCTCCCGCCTACCCACTTAGCCGAGTGTTCTCCTCTTCCCCTGTGTGCACCTTGCTATCTGAGCCTGCCCTCTGCCCATGCTTGTCCCTGCTCCTAACATGCTTCCCACCATCTCTGTGCATGAGGCAGCTCAGATACATTCTGCAAAGCCTGTCTTAGCCTCCCAGCTGATTGGAGTCCCCCTCTTTCTTCTGAACTTCTCAGGGCATTTATGATCTGCCTTGTGCTGGTTATTTGTGTACTTGTTGGAGAACAGGTACTGTCTTCAAGTATTCATCCCTGCCCTGTCTGGTATAGTGCCTTGCACACACTGAGGCCTCAGTAAGCAAAAGGAGTTGAATTGAGTCTCTAGTGTGTCCCTAGCACAGAGAGACAGCATGAGAACTATAAGAGAGAAATGTTGGCCATTGCCTTGAGTTGATTAAATTAACAGTGGTTAATTTAACGAGATTAGCATGTGAAAAGAATTTGTCCAGATTGTAAGATCCTTATTTTAAACAAATGATGATGATTATACAATAGTAGCCAAAATTTTGAGCATTTACTGTGTACCAAATATTGTACTAAGCTTTTAACTTGCCTTACATGTTCTCAACATCAAACTGGCATCAAAAATATGAAGTATATGCTGTTTAACAGATGAGAACCTTTTAATTAATTAAAATTAACCTCAGGAGATAAGTAACTTGTCAAAGTCACACAGCTGATAAGTAGAGGATCCAGGAGTCAAACCCAGTTCTTTCTAATTCTGGAGCTTGTGCTTTAGCAAAGGGTTTATGATGTGTCCTCAACAATTTGTGAAGGCCAGAGAGCCAGCAGTTACTTGGTCGTAGAGCTAGGACAAGGGCTTGGATCTCATCTGTCAGCTCCAAGTGCTGTCCCCTGCACCACCCTATGTTTGGAAGCAGCGGAGCAGGAGATTTCTCTAGTGAATAGGAAACAACTAGAATTTCTCTCCCTTAGAAGGAGACAATATTCCACGGAGAGTTTGGACTCAGCTGCTACTGGATTTGGCTGGAGTCTTGTGGTTGCTTTGCAGGTGGCCCCCTGCTGTATGAAGGCATCAGTCTCACCATGAACTCCAAACTCTTGAACGGCTCTCAGCGGGTGGTGATGGATGGCGTGATCTCTGACGATGAGTGTCAGGAGCTGCAGAGACTGACCAACGTAAGGGAAGCCCAGTGACTGCACCTGCCCCCTGAGCGTCCAACTTCCCCCCACCTTAGGTGCTGAGCATTTACCTGCCTGTGCTGCCCACAGTTGGCCACCTCTCATCAAGCCTTTAGCTGCCCTGGCTAATGTCACCTTGGTTTTTGGGCCTTGTAGGCGGCAGCAACTTCAGGAGATGGCTACCGGGGTCACACGTCCCCACATACGCCCAGTGAGAAGTTCTATGGTGTCACTGTCTTCAAAGCCCTCAAGGTAGAACCAACACTGGGCATTCTAGAGTGTGGAGAAGGGCTGGGGAAGGGGACGCTCAGGCTCTGGGGAGGAGTTGGGAATGGCAGCAGGAAAGGAAGAGTGTCTGCCTGCTGGCGTTCCAGTGGCCTCGGAGCGAGGATGAGTTATGCTGAATGATGTTAACTTCTGAATCCTGGCTTTGAGAGTGACTGTAACAGAAATGAGGCGAGCAAGACAAGACCAATATTCAGAGCTATGAGATGCTTTCTGAAGAATGGCCCATTGCAAAGGGTTGTGATTCTGAGCAGGATGCACAGGTTATTCACGAAGAGAAGCATGAAGGGAGAAGAGTAATAGGGCGGGGGTGTCAGGTGCGGGAAGCAGAAAGACTGCAGCTTCGGCGGGCGGCCTGGCGCCTCAGTGTCTCTGGCGGCCCGCAGAGGGGCATTCAGGGCAGCTGACCACCTGTCTCCGTGGCAGCTAGGGCAGGAGGGGAAAGTCCCTCTGCAGAGCGCCCACCTGTACTACAACGTGACCGAGAAGGTGCGGCGCGTCATGGAGTCCTACTTCCGCCTGGACAGCCCCCTCTACTTCTCCTACTCCCACCTGGTGTGCCGCACTGCAATCGAAGGTAGGCCCCGTCAGCCCTGCAGCCCCCCGGGCACGCTGTGCCTTGGCGCCATGCTGCACGCTGAGGACGTGGAGAAGAATAGGATGTGGCCCCCTTCCTCCCAGTTGGAGGACCAGTGCAAACAAACAGTTGGCAGCCCAATGTGATGACAGTAGCATGGAGGAAGTCACAGTCAGCCTACCGGGGGTCGGGAAGGCTTCCCAGGGGAAGGGCTGGTAGTTCCACGGGATCATACGATTGCAGAGTCCACGGGGCGGTGGGAAGACGTTGGAGCCAGAGAGCAGTGTGTGCGAGGGAGTGGACACGTTGGGCAGCCTGGGAGTTGGAGGAACTAAGAAAGTTGCCAAGTCACGGAGAACTACATTCAGGAGTTGATGTTTATCCTCTAGATCAATCGCGAGCTATGTGGCAAGTTCTCTGTTTAATTGTCAAATAAAAATTCGTGAGAGAACTGCTTAGTTCACAGGTCAGAGCAGATTCGAGATTGTTCCGGGTTCCCTCTCGCAAGGTTCCCTTTGCTTTCCTGAGGAGGTCGAGGTACGGCCAGTGCTGCTGGATCCCCAGTGGCCACAGCCGGCTCTGTCCCGCTGCAGCCTTCAGAGGGCCCCTGGCACCGACGTGCCATTGACAGGTGGTGGAGATTAGAGGCCTTTACTCTCCCGCAGGATGTTTGGGGTTCTATCAAAATCTGGGAACACCGGAGGACTGTCAGACATGCGTGTCACAGCCTCGGGGTGAGGATCAGGGACTCAGGCCCAGGTGGCCAGGAGTCGTCCTGGGGTGAAAGACATGGTGAGGCCCTTGCTTTTAAAAGATTAGTTTTGCTGCCGTGTGTGGAAAGATCTCAAACCAGAAAGGGAAGCTGGTCAGCAGTGACCTAGGGGGACGAGAACAAAGGCCTGAACTCGGGAAGTGGCAGTGGAAGGAGAGACAGAGAAACTGGGGGACGTGCAGGAGGTGGGTGGGCAGGACCTGGTGACTGGCTGGGCAAGCGGGGATTCCAGAGGTACCCACCTGGAATTGGCAGTGCTGCCCGCCCACGCGGGGCACTGGGATGCGGGGAGGGGAGGCGGGTTTAGTGCCCTGAGTGGTCTGCCTGGCATTTTACAGTAAGCCCTGTCTGGTCCCTGCGTGATTTCTCTGCTCATGCCCACCCAGAGCCTCCCTGGAGCTCACACCTTACCGTACTGGCCATTTCCCTCTGCTCCCCTTCCTGCCGCCTCCCTTGTCTCCTGCAGTCCTCACTCTGCAGGAGGTTGGCTCACTCTGCCCTGTGTCCTGCCCACCTCCTGGCTCCTTGGTTTTGCTTCCCTGGGCCTTCCTGTTTTGTAAAGTCTAGCCACAAACCAGGGTCGTGCCATTCTGTCCTGGATCTGCCCTCGGGTGGAGCCCCACAGTCCTGCTTGTCACACCTGCTCGCCCCTGCCAGGAACATCCCAGGAAGCCCGCAGACTTGTCCTGGCCCCTGGGCGCCTGGCTTAGCCAGAGACACCCCTGGTGGTCATGTCCAGAGACCCAAACACCTCCCCTGCCACAAGGAGAGCTGTGCTGCCTCCTGAGGTGCCCCTGTGCTAACATGTGTGACCTTGGCCCAGAGGCCCAGGCCGAGAGGAAGGACAGTAGCCATCCAGTCCACGTGGACAACTGCATCCTCAATGCCGAGACCCTTGTGTGTGTCAAGGAGCCCCCTGCCTACACCTTCCGGGACTACAGGTGAATGCGGGGCAGGTGGGGCGGAAGCCGGCACTCTCCTCTGAGTCCCCAGGACCCTGCAGTCCATCCCCCGCCCCCAGCACACGCACACTGGTTGGGGTCAGCTGTTCCCAGAGTCCAGTCCTTTGCCCCAGACAAAGAGGGCCCCTCACAGTGTGGCGTGATGAGTACCTGACGGCACAGAAGCACCCCAGAAGGGCAGGCGGGGTTCTCTGAGGCAAGGGTGGAGGGAGGGGGGCTTGGGGGGCAGCATTCGTGGGCTTCAGAGGACAAAAGGCCACCCCCCAGCTGCTGGCTGAGAGCATGTGGAGACGGAGACTCTGGGCAGCGGGGGGAGAAGGGCCGTGTCGAGATGTCTTTGCCTCTCCCAGCGCCATCCTCTATCTGAACGGGGACTTCGATGGCGGGAACTTCTATTTCACTGAACTGGATGCCAAGACCGTGACGGTGAGCACCCCTTCGTCCTCACCCCTAGGAGATGAAAACCCTGTTTTCTGGAGCTGATGTCGCCAAAGTGCAATTGACACAGGGACCAACTGGGCTTCTGGTGGGCAGCACCCCCTCCCCACGCCAGCCTCTTCCCTCATCGGTCACCCTTTCTCTTCGTTCTGGCCTGGGGGAAGCCGAGCTGCAGAGCTGCCCCCAGTCCTGGCCCCAGTGGGTCCATGTCTCCTCTGATGGTGGGTGACAAACCTTGTCCTCTGTGTTCCCCTTAGGCAGAGGTGCAGCCCCAGTGTGGAAGAGCCGTGGGATTCTCTTCGGGCACTGAAAACCCACACGGAGTGAAGGCTGTCACCAGGGGCCAACGCTGTGCCATCGCTCTGTGGTTCACTCTGGACCCTCGACACAGCGAACGGGTGAGAGTGGTTGGTGCTGCCGTCACCTATTCCTGGAGGGCCCCTGTTTTGTCTCCTCCTTCCCCGAATCCCATTGCCAGTGGCTTACACGTGAGAGGAACACTGGGCTTGGAACTCGCAGCCCCAGCGCCATGCCACCATATCGACATTGCCTTATGCTCCATGTCACCGTATTGACATTGTCTCATGCTCCCTGGCCTTCTTCCTTACCTGTGAATGGGGCTCCAAGTGGGGTGGCCAAGATGGGGAGTGATGCTGAGCTCCGGGTTCCTCCTTGGGCCTCAGCTATTCTCCCCCAGGACCTCCTAGAAGGAGATGAGCCCAGAGCCATTAAGGAAGTACCGTCATCATCCTCTGGGAAGCAGCTGCTGAGAGATGATGAGCGCCTGGGCCAGAGGCCTCTCTGAATAGGTGGGATTTGTCCTTGCAGGACAGGGTGCAGGCAGACGACCTGGTGAAGATGCTGTTCAGCCCAGAAGAGGTGGACATCCCCCAGGAGCAGCCCCTGGACGCCCAGCAGGGCCCCCCCGAGCCCGCAGAAGAGTCTCTCTCAGGCAGTGAGTCGACGCCCAAGGATGAGCTATGACAGCGCCCAGGCCCCAGGTGGATTGGTGCTAAGACCCACGGGAGGGGGACTGGCCAGCCCTTCGGGGCCATGGGGCAGTGGGCCTGCCTCCGCTGCCCAGCCAAGGGGTCCTGCTCATGGCCCTCTGCACGGTGCTGCTGCTCTTGGAGTGGATGTGGCAGGATGCTGCTCCCCTCTGGACCTGGCCGAGGGCTCGGGACGCAGGCCCAGAGCCACCCCAGGGGCCTGCACAAGCAGCCGCGTGACAGCAATGCAGTATTTAAGTGACTATGTGGACAACCAAAGAATAAATGATTCGTGTTTTTTTACTTCGTGGTTTGTTTGGAGAGTGGAAATATACCATTCTGCCCCAGAGGTCCCTCTTGATAGAAATCGCTCTAGCCAGGGTGCCCGGCAGGTGTGGGCGAGAAGGCCTGGCTCAGTACCCGCCGTAGCCACGTGCTGTGCAGCCTCAGGCCACTTAACCTCAGGGACCTTGGGTTGTCATCTGTATGATGGGGATCATGGTCCCCCTCTGCCCACCTTCTGGGGCAGTAGTGTGGCCCAGATGCAATATTGGATGTGACAGCACTTTGTAAACTGTAAAGCTCTGGATGAATGGTCGGGATTATTGTTAATCCTCTTCTGGCAGGGAGCAGCGGTCAGCAGTGCTCTGGCACGTTGCCCCCGTGTCGGCCACATGCTTCCTGCTCTGGCCTCAGAGTCTTGAATCTCAGGCCTCCGGGCACAGGATGACACACCTCCAGGAGACAGAGAGTGGAACTGGAGACTCAGGTCCTCTGCCACGTCCCTGGTGCCAAGCCCAGCCCCTTACTGTGCCTGAGATGCTGTAGGGCAGCAAGTGTGGAACCTGCGCTCTGAGCGTATTTAGGCAGCACCAGCCATGGGCCTGGTGCTGGGAACATGGTAGTAAACAAAGCAAGTGCCGCCCCCGCCCCCAGCCTGTTTTGTGGGAGAGACAGATAATAAACACGTAAATATGTGTGTGTGTGTATGTTTGTGTGCAAATGATCCTTCCGGGTAGAAAATACAGCAAGTCAGGACCCCAAGGTGGGAGGAGCAGCTAGGAGGCCAGCATGGCGGTGCAGAGTGGCTGACAAGGAGCGCAGCGGGTGGTCAGGGGCCTTAGGGTGTTGTCAGCTACTGTGAGCACCAGGGGGCTTTTACCCAGCGCCACAGAGGCCCTGGAGGGTTTTGAGCAGCAGAGTGACAGCATCTGACTTACATTTGAAAAGCTGCCGTGAACAATTTCTGTGGCGACACGGAGAGCAGAGAGGGGCCCCTGCAGTGACCCGGGAGAGGGTGGTGGTGGAGCCAGGTGGTGGGCAGTGAAGGGAGGGAAAGACAGCAGGTTCTGGGGCTGTTTTTAAAGCAGAGCGACAGGAGTTGCTGCTGGCCTGGGTGTGAGGGCTGAGACAAAGCAGCAAGAAGAAGCCTGAGTAGTTGGGAACATGCAGCTGCCTCGTCCTTCCCAGTGGCTGGGAGGGACTGCGGGAGACGGGCTGGCGGGTGAGGAAACCAAGAGTTCGGTCTTAGATGCGTTGGGCCAGCCGACCAGCCGTGAGTCGCGGAGGGAGCCAAGAGGGTGGTGTCCTGGAAGCCCAGGAGAGCGCTTCAAGGAGGGCGGGAGCAGCTACGTCGAATGCTGCTGAGAGGCTGAGCAAGGTGACGACTGAGCATCCACCTTTGCATTTGGCAACACAGATCAGCGGGAACTCTGGCAACAGATGTTTTGGTGAGATGGTGTGGACGAAGGACGGGCTGGAGCGAGCTCAAGTGAGGATGGGAGGAGAACACGTGGTGATGGTGGGTGCAGATGACTCTTCGGGAGTTTGGCTCTGGGTGGGTGCAGAGGACAAGCTGCAGGGAGGTGTGAAGTCAAGAAACGATTACTGGCCGTGGCTCACGCCTGTAATCCTAGCACCCTGGGAGGCCGAGGTGGAAGGATGGCTTGGTGCCAGGAGTTGGAGTTGCAGTGAGCTATGATGACGCCACTGCACTCTAGCCCAGGTGACACAGCAAGACACAGTCTCAAAAAGAAAAGAAAAGAAAAGAAATGATAACTTTGCTAGCTGGGCGATAGAGCTGATGGAGTGGTCCCGTTGAGGCAGTCACTCTCCCTTTATCATCGTGGATCCTTTCTGTCCTATTTGGGTGACTCACTTGCCATACAGAGAGGACTGCATTAGTGGAAAGGACATGAGCTGGGCAAGACGCTCACTTCACCACTTGGAGTTGTGTGACCTTCAGCAAGTTGCGACCCCCTGAGCGTGTTTCCTCACCATTGAGCTGGGACCGCAATCCTCACCTCCCAGGGTAGCTGAGAGGATTAAAGCAGGAACACTCACAGAGCCACTGGCATGACATTTAGCATATGCTAGATACTAAGCATTATAGAAAACTATTTCAGCCTGATTCTGGTTTTCCAGAAGTTTCCACAACAAAGCAGATGACCTTTACAATTTCAGCATACGCTAACCACACACAGGCAGCAGACTCTCAGTCGAGCTCATGATAGGCCAGATGTTTCCAGAGGCAGCAGGAGCAAGATAAGTGTATATAATTAGGGTGGGGCAAGTCCTGGAAGCAGGGGGTGCTGGCAGGGTCCCAGCTGAGGCACAACTGTGATCGCAAGGTCGTTGCTCAGTAGCACACGTGCACAGGAGGACATTGGCTTGCGATGGGGGGAGAGAGCCCATGGGAGTATTACAGGGGACGAGAGGCAACTTGCAACATGGAAAAGATTCGAGCTTGGAAGAGGCTGGTCTCTGGTAGCCCAGGCAGCTGGCAGAGCTCTCAGCAGGACTGCCAAGAGATAGGCGCTGTGCTCAGCGTTGTTTGCAGAGGAGGGGGAAGGACCATGGGACTGCCGCATGTGCCACAGTGGCATCCTGGCCCTGGGAGAGACAATGGGACAAAAACATGAGGCTGCTAGTGTGGCCTCGAGGTGCTCACAGTCCTCAGGAAGGAGGCCAACGATGCGCCAAGTGCGGTGAAAGGAAACACGCAGAGTATTTTGGGATTCCACATCAGGATGCTTAGCCCTGCCTGGGCAGGCAGGACAGCTGGGCGCGGCCACATGCTGGTGTGTGGCTTTCGAGCTGCTACGCGCCGAGGCAAGGCGTCCTGGGAGCCTGTGCTTCTCTAGGAAACTCAGACTCTGAGTTAGGAGGTAGTAAGACCAGCACCACTCCCTGAGCCTCCAAAGTGTCAGCCGGTGTCTGCAGGGAATGTGCTAGATTGCAAGCAACTGAATCAGACTCTCCTCACTGGCCATGGGAGAGGGCGCTGGAAAGGACTCCGATTTTCACTGGGAGGGAGGTGAAAACGTTGAATGCTCACACCGGTTAGTCAACGATCAACACATACCTGCCAAGGCCGGCTCTGGGCCTGGCTCTGCTGGGAGGAAGTAGCGGCGCGTCTTCAGCCACTGGCAGTCTGCCCACACCCAGGATGGGAAGACTCGAGAGGGAGGCCCATCCATGGAGGAGTCTTTTTGGAACGGAGCTTCCATTACCCGCAGTTCTTCAGGCATTTTATGCTTTCAAACAGCGTTTCTCTCCTACCATTTGATCCTTGTAAACTCTCTCATGAACCAGAGAGGCCAAGTCATATTATCCCTATTTTTCAGTCCAGGGCCCAGGCCCAGAGAAGCTGAGGAACTTGCCTGATGTCACACAGCTTCTCAATGGCAGAGGTAAAGCTAGAACCCTAGGCTTCTTGTAAGTGAAAGCACTTTTTAAACAGTGAAGTGTGTCACCCCAAGGCAGTCTCGGCGCTTAACGGAGGCTTGGGGGTGGAGGGGTGCTGAGCCATCCTGCTCTCCGCAAGTGCCTGGGAGTCACTGGACTGCAGGGACGCCCCAGGAGTGGTGGATGCCCTGGGTGGAGAAGTTTTGCCAGGTTAGGGAATGCCACTCCAGAAGCAGGATCTGAATTCCAGAAGGCTTCAGAACATTGGCGAGGGAAGGCCTTAGGGTAGGAGAGGATATTTTGGTGGAACAGACTCAAACCTCAAATGACAAAGAGAAGGGATAAGCAGAAGAGCTTCAGGGGAGAATGTGAGCGTCATTCTGGGTCACAAAGAGGTTCTGGAATGTCAGGATGGACGAGCACACGGGCATCCTGCTGCCCCTTTGGCCCTGGGAGCAGCAGCTCACTTCCCTCTTTGGCACCTGGCTCCCTCACTTGTCAACAGAAGGGGTCCCAGGCCATCGTCTCTGAGGGCCTGTGTGGCTCCAGAGCTCAGAGACCTGACCCAGGTCCTCCTGAGACCAGAATGACTCCTGGATCTTCCTTACAGAGAGAGCCCCTGCGGAAGGGATGGAGAGGGGGCCGAGGCCCAGCTAGGAGAGAGGCCTCGCCTCGGGGGATAGCACAGCCGAACAACCGCCAACGGCAACCCCCCGCCCTCCACCGGATGCTTGCCTTAAGCCACCATCACAGAGGCCAGCTCAGGTCACTGCTAGGGAATGTCTTATGACTGCCCGCCCCTCCCAACCTGCACCCAGAGCCTCCCTCAAAACAGGGGTGTGGGGACAGACCATGGAAGACGGCACCACACAGCCCAGCGTGGGATGCCCCCTTCCCAGCTCGGGTAAATTACCTCCCCCTGGTCTGCTTGCTGCCTGCCTGCAAGGGCTGCCTGGAGGCGGAGATGAATTAGTGCATAAGAAGCACTTCACAGCCTGCCCACTTCATCCCCAGGAGGTGCCCCTGGACACTACTGGCTTGTCATTGTGGCAGAAGAATTTGAGCTCAGGACTGACTTCTCTGCCACTGTTCTAGACTTGCAGAACAGTGGTTTTTTGCTTTTTGGGACCCGCAGGACATCCTAGGAAACAGGTCTGTGTGTGCCCAGATCCCCATGTCTCTGACTGTCCCAGCACGGAGGGCCTCAGAGGGACCCAGTGTGTGGCACTGCAGGCCAAACAGTGCCCACCCTTGACCCTCAGAGGGCAGCTCACTCCCCCAGCTCTGGCCAGAGCTGCAGGCCATACCAGGGGCCTACGCCCTGGGCGGGCACACAGGGCTGCCATTGTCTGCTCAGCGCCTGGCACCCTCTCGTTTGCATAGCCACGTGAAGAATGCAAGGGAGCAGGCTGGGGACTCATCCCTGGCGGGGGGGTGGCGGTGCTTGGGCTGTGGGGAGACAGCTGGCAGGGGTCGGCAGTAGGACCTGCCTTCCCCCGGTGCCGTCCAGGAAAGGCGGTGGCCAGCGGGGATGCGGGGGCGGCTGGGGGGCTGATGGAGTGGGAGCAGCGCGGTGACATTCCTCCTGCACCCACACTGAGAGCCCCTGGGGCCC